GGGGAGTGGTGGCGCAGAGGTTAGAGAGGTGGGCTTGTGATCCGAAGATCGCCGGTTCACGCCCCGGCCCCGACAACATCAAAAAATTGTGGGTGGGGTAGGTGAAACACCCACACTTGCCCCCACCCTCATTCGCCCCACTCTGGGCCCATGAGCAAGGCCCTTAACCCCCACCATGTGCTCCCTAAAACAGGTCTCTCTTGAAAATGAGTTCTCGTGGCTCAATGAGACTAACCTGTATAAATAAAGGCTAAATGAAAAAAAAAAAAAAAAAATATATATATATATATATATATGAGCTGTGCTCTTTTAGGACATTTAGATAGTTCAGAACATTGCAAGAGTGTGGGAAGGGTTCTGGAACGTAACCCCCGCAATAATTGAGGGACTAATGTAATTTTTATATTTTTTGTTTTACATTTTATATTTTGCATGTTTTTATAGTATTTTTATATGGCTAGTTTTCAAATGTTTGAGGCAGTGATGTGTTTTTAAATGAGCACAGTGTTTTCAATATGTTACATGCTTTCACGGAAGGACAGAGGACTGGGCTCTAATTTCATTGTGCTGGTGCACAAAGTGTAACTGTACAACGACAACGAAGATCTATTTAATCTTTCTATCACCTTGCAGCTCCACTGTCTTCACTGAAAATACAAGGGTTTTCACAGTTATGACAAATATGACAGACAAATGTTGACCCCCTCATTGTTCCAACAAAAGATTCAAGGGAACCAACGTGTACAGGTCGTTGATAGCTGACAAGTTTCTCCTTCAGATTCTTCCTACACTATAAACACACAAGCATTTGCTCATGAAGAGTCCAGTGGAGTGCACACATGCATGTTTAGACAAACACAACCAGACACTCGCAGGCCAGGTCATACCCCTCTGGGGTCAGAAAAATATTGTGGTTCAGAAACAATCAGACAGACACTCAGACTGACTTGTTGGTCTGAAGAGATTCCGCTCAGTCATTGATACTCAGATGTTTGGTAGCTAAAGGCTCAGGAGTAAAGCCCCACAACACAAACAATTAATAGAATACAGTATATATATAT